TGAAAAAAATACTAATTTATGTAAATATTAGTAGATCAATGTCAAGTCCAAAATAGTTACTGAAGATCAAATTTTCAAGCGTGTCTTTAGGTACCAAAAGATGCTGATAGGCACCTAGTGGGATTTTCAAAAGCACCTAAGCAGGTTAAAAGCCTGATGTTGAAATCAAAAGTCCCTAATCTGCTTAACCACTTCTGAAAATCCCAGCAGGCGTCAATCTATATCTTTAAGCATCTAAATACTATTGAATGATCCATTCTATATGTAATGCTAGTCTATATTATATCAGTGATCTGGAGGGTGGACTGGACAGTACAGGACTCAAATCTACAGAAGACAGTTTTGGAAGATTAGGGAGCACTTGGAAAAATAATAAAGATTTACATACAGTATACACTTAAATTACAGAAGGTTCAAAATTAATCATAAAATTAACAAGTATGAGATAAATGTGACACAGTACAAATAAGAGAGAATAATGAAGAAACTGGAGATGGAAAGTAGGTAGGGTAGTTAGCACAGAAAAGAAGCAGAAAGTGGCAATGGCTAATATTATTGAATACATATCTATTTGATTGTGGACAAAGGAGAAGCCCATTTAATTGACATGTTTAGAACATGAGACGTATAGTACTGGAAGACACATCCCTGAGCTGACAAATAACATAAGAGAACCATTGCCTCTCTTACTTTCATATGCATTGAAAAGGTATGTTCTATATTGAATGTGGAGTACTAGGAGTTTTGTGGTTAAAACAAGCTAAGTCTTATATGGTCAGCAATTATTCTGCTCTCTTCTGAACTGGTGCAGACTTCAGCTGTGAGCTCTATTTAGTTTTGGGTACCACATTTTTTAAAAGACAAGGTGAAGAGAGTTCAGAGGAAAGCAAGAAGAATGATAAAAGACCTGGAGAAAATGCAGCTGAGAGAAGACGTGATAAATGCCTTCAGAAACAGCAAGGGACAGCATAAAGACGACAAGGGCCAATTATCCTCATTAGTCACCAAGAAGAGAACAAGAACTGGTGGGCTTAGTCTTCAGCAGATAAAATTCAAGTTAAACATTTGAGAAACATGATAACTGAGAGGACAGTTTGGGCAATAGAACAAACTTCTACAGGAGCCTATGTAATCACAGTCACTGGGGATATTCAAAATTGTATAAGTCACTGGTCTACCACAGATACTAGAAAGATTAAAACAATTTTGTCACTGTGAAAAGGATAGACATGAAGGCCATTTGAGACTCCTTTCAACCTCATAGCTTCAATGAAAAAATGATACAATATAAAAATAAACCACATTAATATAGAAAGGTGCATATAAGGCTCCATACTGAGGCTCCATTATCAAGTTCCATGCAACAATTCCATTTCTAGAGGCAGAAAAGGAAAGGCCCCACAGATGGAGACAGAATGGAGGAAAAGAAAGATAATATTTTTTAAAAGCTGCTAGTAAAGGTATTTACAAGTAAGTTACATTTGGATGTGAATGGCAAGCAGCATACAAATGAAGGTAGACAGCGGACAGTTAAGTAACGTGTAAATGATTCAGCATGGATAAAGCACTCTGGCCAGAAGGAAAAACATCTAGATTTTCCCAGGTCAGATGCTAGTGTTGTTTATTGTTTTCAGTTCCAGAATACAAGATGTAGGTTATATATACAGACTGTATCTCTCTATTTTTACATTCATTCATTCATTCATTCATTCATTCATTAACTCTGCCCTTCTTTTACAGCCATGTACTCTGTTGTTTATCTGAAGTTACTGAAGTTATTGGTACAGGAGCTTCCCTGGGTTATGTCCCTAAGGCCCACCCCCAAAACCTCTTTTCAGGCTGAACCAGTTGAAAAATTTCTGATCAAATCATTTTCCATTTTAAAATATTAATTCAATAAAATTGAACAATTTTGTAGGTATTTCTCAATTTCATGAACATTTTCAATATTAAATAAAAAAATGTCATTTCAACTTTATGACTTGGAGTTTTATGTATATGTAATATATCCTATGAAGTCAAAATGAAAAATAATAAAATATTTTTAAAACATCTGACATTTCAGCTTTCCTTGAGAATCTGAAATATCAAAAAACTTTGAAATGTTGGAACGTTCATTTAGTAGGCTGGACATCCCATTTTCAACCACGTGTGGTATCTGGGCCCACCAGATGGCATGTGACTGATTAATTGTCCCTATGTGGACAGGGCTGAGCTCCTTCTCTGTGCTCATCCTGTCACAACAGGAAGGAGAGATAACGGTAGGAATTAAGAGACGAAGAGGTCAATCACGGCTGAAGTAGTAGGTGCTGCTCTCATTGCCAAGGTGCTGACATGCGGACTAGGGACTTCACACTACTATTTACAAGTATCAACACCTGCTGAAGTATATTTTTCCTATAAACATGGCTTTGTAAAAGGGAAAGCAGAGCTGAACAAATGCCTCAAATAATATTTTATTACTATATCATTAAATAAAAAAATTGATTACAGACATATTTCTGCCCTCCCCTGTGGTCATTTTCTATTTAAGCAAACAAATTACTTACTAGAATGCTCCCAGAAAAGGTAAACTTTAAGTAAAAATTAGGGGACCTAAGAAAACCAATGTTTCACTTCATGATGGCAATTATTCATAACAATAATGTGATTCTAGAAGTGAGGCTTATCCAAAAGGAATTGGAAAGAATACTCTGTGATGTGCACGTTCCCCTCCAAAACTGACCAAATTAGCTGTAAATCTGAACCCTGGTTACTGGGAATAAACTTCTCATCCACAATCTCCAAGCTGAGATTTTGTAGAAAATATTTAGCAAATATTCTTGAAGAAGAAATGTGCAAGAGGCAAGGATTTTGAGAGTGATGCATTTTATTGGACCAACTGTCTGGTTGTAGAAAAAGTACACTTAAAAAAATCTTTAACTGTTTGCTGGTGATTCAAGAGCAGAAATTTGGACTGAATTTGTTAAGTAAATTATTCACTACAAATTACTTGTCATGTTTCTAATGAATGCTAAAAAGGAAGGTTAGGACATTACACAAGAAAGATTGTGCTGTACCTAGGACAACCTTTTCTTTTTCTATAGAAAGTTATGTTCCCTATAATAATCTTCTCTCAAATATCTGCCTTGGACAAGAAGGGGTAATTGGGTAAAGTCTTGGTTCCTGGCAACACTTCTTCTGGCTCACCATTCTGAACATACGTGTCTTAAAAATGAAAGACTTTAGCCAAATGAAGTGGGAAGATTTATTTTTCAAAACCAAACAGGATATTTGTGCTACAAAATGTAAACCAAGGCAAAATTACATCAATGCAACAACATACCATAACTTTAGCTTCAGCTCAGATTTCTGCTGCCTGCTTTGATCTCCAAGATGTTTCAAATAATATCTGCAAATCACCTCTATGTGTGACAGTCAGGTACACAGGCAACTCAATAGCTGAGCAAGATCATTCCACAGGTGAAAGTAAAATGGACAGAAAGTGTCACAATATGTTCAAAATGTCCCTAGTCCCGAAGTGCTCTGGAGCATGGGAACATGTCCAAAAAAAGAGATGCGGGCAACCTCTCAAACATCACCACTGAAAGGTTCAGGCTTTCCAAAAGAAAATAAGGCACTGCAGTTCTCAACAAGCCTTAGAAGGGGCATTTTCAATCCCCTAATGTACAAAGAAAAGTCCTTAAATATAAACAGGCAGAGGTTTCTCCTCTCCTCACACACTACCAAGCTCACCCTCATTTTGTGATCTAGTTATACTCCCCTTCAAGTAAACTTGAAAGTATTCTTGAAAGGCTTACCCTACCCAATTACTTGCACAAAGAAGGCCATTGGTCCCTATAGCTTTGCTTTGAAAGGAAGATGCCTATAATGCCTATCACAGTATTATACAAGGATTACCCAACTATTCCCTGAAAGAATGTGGCCAGACCATAAGGAATCCACTTTTCATGTAACATCCATGTTCCAGATTTCTTCATTTTTTTAAAAACGTTAGATAATATGAAGATTGCTAGTATTATTGGCCTTTTGGTGAACTGGAAGGGAGACAGAGGAGTGGATGTGTCAGCCCAAACCCACCAAAACATTTTTGAAGCTAAGAACAGCAGTGGCTCTTCATTTCTCCTCCCTCTGTTAACTTTGGGTAGTTAGCATTTTCTATGAAAGGAGGCACTAGATGACAAAAATTCCTATCTATCCTAGACACTGGATTGGGTATTTCTCAGAAAGGCTGGATTTTGGCCCATCGTGTCACTTACTGAAAGAGATATATTGCAGTGAAAAAACAACTGAAATGAAGAAAAATGCCAATAGTTGGATCCTAGTTGTGAAAAGGATTCATATTGCATCAACTCTTGGTGTCCTTCCTCCCTGCCAGACTGGTGCCATGGCTTAGTTTGGGTAATGCCTTACTGCACCTCTGGTCCCATTAGTAAGCTAATACTCCAGCTGAATAAGAATGACAGAATGGGGGACTCAGATTTTCCTGAGTCCTTATTGAGGCTCGTTTCCCTTTGAAATCAAGAAGAGTTCTGCCTATGGGCTGAGAGCAAGGACTTTTGAGATTTAGCCCAGTAAAATTTACTAAAAGAAAGGAAATAACCAAAAATTAAGTAAGAGATACAACAAGGGTGAAGTACCTTTGTCGGAGGTTTTTGAGTTATGCTTTTGTTTGTAACTATCTGAAACAGAGAAAATAATAGAGGGTGAATCTTACATGGAAGATAAAGAGAGACATTAGGCAGAGAAGCCGCAAAGAAAGAGACTGAGAGAGAGAGCGAGCCATAAGAGATGAGCTGTGATGGTGCCAAGGGAGGTGGAATCTTGCTGAGGATTTCATTTTCTTTCCTTCATGCAAAACACCGAGAGCAACAGGAGGTGGCAGACATGCAAGTCAGACAGCAGCAGAACACTTTGCTGGATAGAAGGGGAAGCCTTGTTTGCATTTGAGCTGTTTGGACCAGGCTGAAAGCAGAGTTGGAGGTCTGGGTACTACTTACTGTCACAAACATATGGTTTGTCATGGTCATCCTGGGAGGCAGCATCATTCCTTCTTCTTCCACCTCCAGATCCGCGAGCCTGCAGTGAGAACAAGAATGTTAAATGTTGTTCCAGTGCCCTCTCACAGCCTTCAGCTTCCCCCTCTGACAGCTATATAAGCAAAACTAAATGAGTTCCTGGAGTTGCACAATGGATGAATTTGGCCTTTCATCTTCTAAGGCACATTGTATATTTTTGGAACTTTCAATGCAGCAGAAAATCCATAGAACAAAAATCCCTAGTTGATTAGCAGTGGAACTCTATCAATTCCTTGGCTACTGTTCGTGCATAGTTAGTCAAGGTACCATCTCATACTCACAGGTGAACAAATAGGAGGGCATAAGGCTATTTGAGCAATATTAGGCCCAAACACAGACCTAAAATATTGTATTTCTAAAGTACATGTGATGTTGGTAAAGGTGCTGAGGGCCAGAGCTCAGATTATCCACAGGACAATGTGACTCACAGATGTCTCTCAAAGCCGACTTGAACTTCACAGGAGTAAAGATGGAGTTCAGTGTCAATGCCATTCAGTCCTAAGCCTCCTCCACTGAGGATGCCATGGGGGAACAATTACTGTCATTTATAATGACAGGGGTTATAACATGGGCATTGGAAACAGAGCACAACCCTGAAACTATTTCACATAGGCTAATGGCACCCTTCAGAGGGCAATAACTTTAGGCCTAATCTGCATTTGAGCTGGTACTTTACAGGCAGAAATCCACCTTTCCTAAATGCTACCTTCTACTAATACTCCAAGCTATTAAGTTCCCATACAAAGTCAACTAAACCAGTTAATTTCATTGTTTCTATGAAGTTTGGGCTCCTCCTCTCCTTCCGAGAGCTTCATGCCTTATATCCCTATGCTTTTTGCGTGTGAGAATAATAAACTGAAGCAGCTTTAGCAGGTAAAGACAACTTGGAGATTTAGAGAATATTAATGACCCAAATATTAAAGGATGGTATAAACTAACACTCAACACATACTGTATATACACAGGACAGCACTGTAACAAACTGAGGTGCTTATCTCCATAAGTTTGAAGAGAAGGCCAAGAGGACCGTTTTAAACTGATACATTGTTAGGAATCTCTGAAAAGAGGGTCTTATAAAAACTGCACAAGTTAAAGAAAACCTCTTCCCAATGGACGGGAACAAATTGGGAACAAACCCAATAAAGTCTATTCATGACTTTGGATGGAGTGTGATATCCATCCATATAATGGTTCTGAAGGAAGGAGGCATCTAGTTGACTTTGCCTGGATGCCATAGATACTGTCAAGTCACAGGGCATGACCACAGCATGATCTTCTCAGGTGAGCCGAATAGAAGTAAAATTAAATACAATTGTAGAAGTTATTTTACAGAATCCATGTTTACAGAAACTCAATAATTCTGTATCAAATGTGCTTAGTTTACAAATAGCAACTGCCAGCTCTGCAAACTCACCCCAGGCTCTGAGAGCAAACCTGCATTCCTTCCATTTACTCAGCACAGTAAAAGGTCCCACCAGTCAAATTCAGCCCTCTTTAGCACCTAGGCTCTTCAGCAGATTTGGGCAGGTGTAACTAATGTGGCCCTGATAAACAATTGTATCGATGTATTAGAATCCAGACCCCTTCCCAACCTATCTGCATTGGTTCTGCAGAGGGATGAAAAAGCTGTAACATCTTACTTTTGTCACTAGTCAGCAGGTCTGACTCTGAATATACACAGGGAGCAGATCTGTTGAGTAAGAAAGTGCTATTTTTACATAGTCACTTTTCAGACTAGAATAGTAATTTAAGATCTGTTGCTGAGTTTCACTAATCTACAGCCAGCTGCTTCCCTTCAAACCATCCTTTACAGAAATGCAAGGGTACAGCATTCATGCTATGGTTGCATGCCATATACACTGTTTCATGAACTGAACACAGACAGGGATATTTTCAAATTAAATTTATTGCTTTCATGGGGACTTGGGCTCCTAAATCCCTTTGTGACTCATAACATCCTCTAGTTTTCTCTTGAAGAGCACATGGACCTCACATGTGCAGCCACATTACTGCATTACAAGCTTCACATTCTAGCTCCTTCCCCATTTTCTCCATCCAACAAAGACTGTAAAAACCTCTCTCTGTAAACCCATCTCCTTGGCCTTCAGCATTGGACCTCATGCTCCTGCTATGTCAGGGCTAGCCTTAGGGAGCCAGCAAACTAAGCAGTCACCCCAGAGGCACAGACAGAGTGCCACGTGCTTGCCATCAGGGCTTCAGTCTGTTGAATTCAGTCATTCACGAATGACTTCATACTCCTGCAGGGATGCAGCAAAAGGACTCCGAGACTTGATATACAAAGCCTGGAAGCCTCTCTCAGCAGCCTTGAAGCAGCCAAATGGAGACAGAGAGAACAGCCAAAAGGACAGATATAGGGTCTCAGGATAAAAATAAAAGAATGCTGGAGGAAAAGCAAGGAGCACAATTTGGAATGGCCAGAGCGATAATTATGCTGCGTGAATTCTGTGCCCATGACTTGAGCCCTTCCTGATCGTTCTCTGAATCCCCACAGGCCCAGCTCCTCCGAATCTTGTTTCCTTTTGTAGGTCCTCCACCTGTCAGTCTCCCCTCCTCTAACAATTCCACAAACAAAGCCTTCTAGGTAACAGAAGTACAATCCCTTCTCAGGTTCAGATTTCAAGTGTCCTCAATTTCAAATCCTTTGTGGTTCCTAAGTTGTATCAGACCCTCATCAGGAACAGGCTTAAAAGGGAGCAAAGCATAAGCTCTCAGCTGCTATAAATCAGATAGCAATGGAAGGGACACCAGTCTACACCAGCTGAGGATCCATCTTTAGATTTACAATGCCACCTACGCTTTGTGCCAACATTCTTACTACATCCAATTTTTATGAAAGTTTAACAGCATTTGGAACTCTTTTACCCTCTACAGTCTCATAAGAAATCAAAGTTACTAGCAGAGATAATATTAGTAGCAGGGAAAGGGCAGAGATTTTACTGGGACCACCATTAGCACAGGGTTCTAGTCTAAAAAGTAAGATATAAGTTTATGCTTCAAGGTGAATGTGATACATGATGCTCCTAACCCCCCACAGGTTCTTTTATTTTGAATGGCAGAGATAAAGTGATAGAATTATTCTGTGATACCTTCCAGGATAGGGAAGTACACTATTGCATGTAACAATAACCTCAGCGCATTATTTGTATGGGTCAGAGATGTATGAAATGGATGCCAGAGAATAAAATTCTCTTTCCAGATTGGTATACCTTTTGCGTTACCCTTTTTGTCCTTCATACACCCTGACAGGCATGTTCAAATCCTGTGGCAGCAAGTGTATTAGGAAAGGGTTGTAAGAACTGGAGTGTTCAGTATGTCTGCATGTATTGATCTATCTCCTAGTTTTGCTTATGAGTTCACATAACTTCCTGAAATGTATACTTTCTAAAATATTCTAAGTTTGGGAATCTGACTGAGGGGGCATTTACAAGAAAACTTAAAAAAAAGATTGACTAGAATTGGCTCCACTGGTTTTGAGAAATATACTTTTCTCTGTTAGAGGAAAATTTGCCTTGGTTTCTTATCCAGGAGGCTTAGCACCCAAATTAACATGAACAGAAAGATGAAATAATAGAACAATAACGAAACAGAGGGGGAGGGAGGTGTGGATGCACAGAAACACTCTAAAACTATTCAATGTGTTTTCAGGCAGCTTTAAAATTTCTTCTATCCTATTTATTTACCCCAAAATGTAGTCATCTTCAGCTGCACTCCTACAATCTCATATTTTCAGACACAGCAATTACCCCCAACTTCCCCTGAAGCTCCATGACAGATGCAAATGCTTGGCACTTCTGAGAATCACATTCAATTTTTATTTGGATGCCTGCCTAACTTTAGGAACCTACTTCTGAAAATGTTGGCCCCAAGCTTTTAAATGTTGGCCTGGTTACTTAGCTGACTTTGTGCTGAAATTGTGAGGGGACAGGACCAAAGAAGGTTGCTGTTGCTTGAGGATGAAACCATACCATTCTTGAAGTCAATGGGAGTTTTGCCATTGACTTCAAAGGGGCTAAGATTTCATGCCCAGAACACTACTACGACCTTTCAGTTCTGACTCCAGCTTCAAAGATTGTAACGAAATGTATTTATATAAGCTTCACTGTTACCTTTGCTGATTTTTGTTTTGGATGTTGGAACTGTAAGCAAAGTTTGCATTTCTTTTTTTAATTGTGAATGTTGTTGCAAGGTAAGGGACTGTAACAACAGAATATCATCATCACTGATAGTCAATTTTACTTCAGAAATAAAAATATATCAATAAAATACATTCAGTCCCCATTTTCAGTCTCACAACAATCTCATTTCTTAGTTAATAGGCAAAACAAACTGAGAATATGAAAAAACAAGACTGTATGATTCTACAGTTTACCACATGGTTATCATCTTCACTTATCCATGCATCTACACTGTGATTATGAAGATGATGAACAGAAACCAGCTGAGGATGTGAGAAAAGAGCTTTGTTCCCCACCTTCCCTCTCCCCCACAGGGATTCAACCTACCCTTCCTCTGGCTCTGTTCTTTCGTTTTGGAATATCTTCTTCCAAATCTTCTTCCTCATTTACTTCATCTGCATTTTCATCATTTTCCAGAACCCTCTATATTTAAATGACAAAGACTTATGTTTAAAAGCAAAAGCAAATGTTCACTGAAAGATACACAAGATCATTTATTATTATTTACAACCGAGACTGAGATGGTACTCAAAATGCACTCTCCACTCACGGGGAGGGACACAGCCCTGCCACAAGGAAGATGCAGTTTTAAAAGGTGAAGATGGACAAAAAATGGATACAATAGACAAGCTGATGGTCAAACCATTGCCAGAATTACACTTATGCTAATTCTTTAATGCCAGTTCCTCCCAACCAGCACCCACAGAAATGTGATGTCCTTCCTTGCCTGCCCTTGGTTCCCCACAAAGGTGGTTTCTAAGAAAGACCAGGCTGGCAGCAAAAACAGCAAAAGTCAAGCTGTGACAGTGCAGGCATTGTTTTGTTCTGTTTTGTTTTTACAATTTACACTTCCCTCCTCTGATGAAAACTTAGAAACCAGAAACATTTCCTTTTGTGGCACTTCAGAATTTTTCTCCACTTAGTGAAGCATTAGTCTCCTGCGTGTCTAACAGGTCTCAGGGTACCCATACCATAGGTGTCCATATAGTTCTAGAAATAGGGTATCCTGCAGCTCCCATTGAAGGTAATGGGAATAGTAGTTGCTCACTGACTGTGCCTGGGGTTTGCTAGATTTTTTTTCCTGTTTTTCTGAATTCTGTTCTTGGGGAAAGATGTCTGGTTTGCTAGCACTTGAAGCAATCACAAAGCAGACAGTACAGGCAGTGGTACTGCAAACCTTCCTACAGCAATGACAAGGAGCAAACTCCTAAAGAAGTGACAGGATAATTCATTCTTCATAACTCACAAAATGCTTGGTATCTCTGCAAGCAAGGCTGCTGGCCTATGCCAATCATAATGTGAGTGCCTGTTCTCTAGGAGCTATTCTGAAAACACTAAGTCATCTAAAACAGGCCACTCTTCAGATGGCAACATTAAGTCATGAAATTAATTCAAAGAGTCAGAGGTGACAGACAGCCTTTAAAATCTGTTATCTAATTCTGATCTATTCAGTTCTCCTGTATATTTTTAGTTAACAGATGCTAGAAAACCAGCAGAGGGAGAATAGGAGCACATCACATTAGTGTTGCCTCTGGTGTACCTTAAGACTTGACTGCTAGGGTGGAAAACAATATAACAGATTTTACTAGAAAAAGGTTTAGAATCAGAAGAACCATCCACACACCCCATTATTAGAATCTAATCACTTATATTATGGGGCATAAACACTGGCCAGGGTCCTTTTAAACAGGTTAAATAATTTTCAAAGTTTAGTAGGGGGTCAAATTAATTTGTGGGTTTCTGTATTTATATTGCATTGTTTTTAAACCCTAAGACTGCATCCAGACAAGCACGGCTATGAGGTATGTGGCACTGCAGGCACATCTGCAGTGTCACATACTGCACGCTCTGTTGTTCTCAACGCTGCAAGGAGAAAAAAAGTGGAGTGGCGCATGCAGTGGCAGCATGCGCAGCCTGAAGCCAGAGCCTGGCAGCTGGCCAGAGCCACACTCCACTGCCAACCAGGTTCCATGTGGCAGGTTTGCTGCTGCTGCAGCCGCAGGAGACCCTCAGGACCTCAGGTAAGGCTGCTGGGGTCAGCCTAGTGCTGGTCCCAGCCTCCCCTACCCCACTCAGGGTAACTTGCTGTGCACCAGAGCACGCAGGGCAAAGGCATTCCCCAGGGACAACCAGCAGCAGCATGAGATGCTCTGCCGCTAGTTGTCCCCCGAGAACCAAATGTCTTCACACATATGGACGTGGCCTAAGAGGCCATTTATGGGGTCAAACTACTTTGATAGCTGATCTTCTCATAGAGTTTTAGTTACCAGAAGGTGGAAAAATTAAGTGACTTCTGCTTTCATGTATATAAAATGTTCCCTCATAATTTACCAAAGTGCATACATTTGTCAGGGAAAATACATTCTTTATTAAACTAGGGGAGTTTAAACTGGGAGAGAAATGCTATGTAGATTTTTTTTTTCAAATTACTTAAAGATTTTTTTTTTTTTTTTTGCAGAGCATTTCATTTCCAAAACAGACTGAAATGCTGACATCCCCAGAGTGGAAGGCATCAGTCATTCTGTTCCAGTACTTTACCAGTAGTGCTGTATTTACTTAAATCCAAGAAGACTGAATTTAAGATGACCCCCCCAGTTAGATTCTAGACATAGAAAAGTATATATAGTAAATTATAGTAGTTATAATTTTCCATGTATAGTATCTAATTATTGGAGGAGCATCTTAAAATTCATGTCCCGCCCCTCAACTGCTGTGGTGGGAAAAGCAACAGCAGGGAAGCAAGTGGCAGCAAAAGCTGTGGCAGGAAGCAGACAGCCCCACGCACCTGCCCCTGCTTCCCCC